GTCCACTGCCCGGGTCCTCACCCTCCCATCCCCCCCCTCCCGCTCATCCCGTTCGTCCCCACCGCCTTTGTCGGACACGGAAAAGCAACACGCACGCCGCAGGTGCGGTGCGTGAACTCGCAGCTGTGCGACGTCCCCCTCGATTTGCAAATGTGATCCTTGCGCAGGAGCCATGCTAAACGAACTTCCCCGATGGAGGGCCTGCAAAACGACAACGTGCGCAAAAGACAAAAAAGATGGCAGTGTATTTCTCCGTGTTCTAGCAGTGGATTCAGTCTCATTTGCACATTTGGAGAGAAGTGCAGCGAGGCCCTCAGGCCAAAACGAAAACAACGGGTCGGACAAAAGCAAACCCGCAAAAAGACAGAAAAAAGAAAGAAAAGGAAAGAAACGAACAAAAGGAAACTGGCAAAAAGACAAAAAAAAAAAGAAACGAAACAAACGAACAAAAGGGAACCTGTGTATCTCCCCATGTTCCGGAGCAGAATTCAGTCTCATAGGAACGACCGGTGTATCTCCCCACGTCGCGGCGCTGGGCGCGAGAAACTTCTGGAGCCACGCTACGGATCCGACCACGCCACGCGCGAGGCAAAAGAGGAAAAAATAAAACGACGCCCCCGGTGCCTGCCGGGCCCATCCCTGGTGTTCCCGACTCGTTCCCAAGAATGGCAGCCGGGCCTGGCGGGAGCGTGACGCCAGACCCGCTATTCCCTTAAAAATAGAAAGGGATAATAATAATAATAATAAAAAAGCAGCAGCCGCTGCACGTCGCCCGGCTACGGTCTGAGGACATGCAGGGTTGCCTGGCCTCATCATGGCGGGGTGTCCGTTCATAAGGGTTATGGGACGCTGGACCCGGTTTCCAGCAGGGCTGTTCCTTTTTTTTTTTTTTTTTTTTTTCCCCCGCTCTTCATCAATAGATAGGAGGGACCCGTGGAAGGCCAGTACGCAGCAGTAGACGGGAACTAGCAGGTTTGCTGGTTCGGCGGTTCGCTGCATCTGGAAAGGGAGGAAGGGGAGTAGGTAGTCAGGTTGTTTGGTCAGGCGCCCAGCAGCAGGGCTGAAGAGGCCCCCTCTTGTCAATTCCGCTCATGTGCATCCTCTCACCTGCTCAGTCAATCCCCTGATTTCAGTGTAAGCAATGCTGGCAGGATGTCAGTGTGTTCAGATGCTGAATTGTTCACGTGGATGCTGGACCCGTTTTCCAGCAGGTGTTAATCCCCACCAATAGATTGGAGCAACCAGGCAACCCGCTAGAAGGGGGGTGCTCTTATCTCCTCTTCTAGAGGAGGGACTGGTTTTCTTGTCAAAAAAAAAAAAAAGGATGTTTTTTAATTTTTTTTTGGCGCGCAAGTGCCTTGATGTCACTTTTGAGTACAGATGGAGCAAAAAGAACACATGCCGGCAGTGGGCTTCGGCTGAGAATCCATCTGAGAAGAAGAGTTGCGCTAGCACTAGTGCCCTGACGCCGGCGGACCGGCGAGGGCCGGTCTCCCCGGCTAGACTAGCACCAGGGGAGGGAAGCTCCTCGGCTGCTAGGCCTGGGCGCGCGCCCGACAGTCGTGCGTGGCTTCCTTTTGCCACGTGGCGTCTGTTGTTGGTGACGTGGCCGTCCCGTGACGCGCGCGCAGGGGTAGCGCCAGCAGTGAGGTAGATGAGGAAACGCAAGTGGAGCGCAGCTATCAGATTTCGGGGCGTCAGAGAGGTATGCGTTTGGGACCTGACCAGAAAGAGGGCTCGTATACAGCCCGTATAAAGCGCCTAGCGCACGCGCGGCGGCTCGAGGCACTGGGCGTCAACACGTCACAGGCTGACGTGGACTCTCGCCCGACTCGCGACTATCGTGTCGCGTGTCCCGCTTGTCATTTCCATAGCTGCTTTCCTGTCAATTGGGTGGCAAAAGGCTCAAGTGGCTTGGGAGTGGTGGCTTGCCACTTCCATAGCCAGTGGAAATTGGCGGAGGAAGCCCTGAGTTTAAGTCGAAGTGTGTGTTTTGTGCTACAGTACTTCAAGTTGATATTGTCAAGTATTGAAGACGAGGCATAAGAGAAAACGAAGAGGTCAATAGCAAATCATCCTCTCAAACTACAGGAGGGGACTTATCCAACGTGGCAGAAGGGAGGTGTTAATTCAGCCAATACATCTGGGAGGTTGATATTGTTAAGTATTGAAGACGAGGCATAAGAGAAGGTGAAGAGATCAATAGCAAATCATCCTCTCAAACTACAGGAGTGGACTTATCCAAGTGGCAGGAGGGAAGTGATACATCTGGGAGGAAAGACTAGTACGACCGACAACCAGAGGGAGAATTTGACTCAGGAGGCAGCCCAGTCCATGGCAGGGCAAGACAAGGAAGTAGTAAGGCAACGGAGTAGTATGGACACACAGAATAGAGTCATCAAAGGATGAGAGTCATCTCCAGTGGTAGTATCACTGCAAAAGTGGTGACACTATACTAGCAATTTTTTATTTTATTGAGTAGAGAAAGAAGTGAAGGCTGATGCAACATGGTGGGGCAAGTATCATCTGAAAAAGGATTTGGACGGCTAGGTCAAAGATATCATCTCAAACGCAACCGTGTCTGACATAGCCAGTTGAGAGGACTTAGGTAATCCAGGTAACGAGACATGCAACCATTTTTCTCACACTCTCAGGAGGCAAGCAAATAAGGCAGAGCTAATTGAGGGATGGTC